CATCATTTCTATGCTTAGGAATTTATTTTCAATTTAAAAGAATAGAAAGTTATTAGAATTTTTTAGAATATTAGAACATTTAAGAGTATCTTATGTATTTTTACATATAATCAATCTGGAATCTACTTTGGTATATATGTCAGTTATTACTGTAATTCTTTTATTTTCCCTCAAAAAAAACTAATCAATAATCCCTGCAGCACTTACTGAAAAGCCTTCCCTTTCTCCACTGCTTTGTAAAACCTCATCTATCTGTACTAAATTTGCACATGTCTTTCTAATGTTAGATTTTGTTCTATTGACGTACCTGTCCATCTTGGGCCAAAATGCATTTTTAATGATCACAGCTTTGGAATTTGGTTGAATATCTGGCAGTTAGTCCCCTACTTTTATTTTATTCTTTTTTTTTTTTTGGAAGATGCAATTATTTATTGAAACAAGATTTTCTTAGAATTATTATAAATCACACATTTTTATAAATGTGTTTAATTTTGGTTTGTTTCCTTTTTTTTATTTTGGTATCATTAATATAAAATCACTTTCATTTTCTTCTTAAAAAAACTTTTAAAAGTTAATTTCATTTGTTTCTTCTTATAGAAAAGCATTCTGTCAAGTTTCCAAAGGAAAATTCTCACTGGGATTTTGATTAGAATTCCTGTAATGTAGCTTAAGCTTTGGAGAAAGTCTGCCTGGGTTTGAATCTTCACCTTGCCATTTACAGTGACCCTACAGTGACATTAGGCAAATTCTTTACCCTTTCTGTGCTTCAGTTTCCTCTTCTAGAAAATGGAGCTAACAATACTACTTACCTCGTAGGATTTTTGTGAAAATTAAAATACGTATATACAAGTTATTTATGTAAATTTGTTATTACATAAATCAGGTATATACATATATGTTAATTTAACCAACTAATGCCTAACACATAGTAAGGTCTCAATACATTTTATTATTATCAATATATTATTTATTTTATACATTAATTAGGGACAAATTCACTTCTTTATAATATTCCTATCTAGGAACCTGTACTATATATTTCCATTTAGTTAAAGCTTTAACATTTTTCTTAATAAAGCTTCTTTTTTCATTTTGATTCTTGCCAAATATTTAAAGATATTATTCCTAAGTGTTTAAACATTATACCAGTGCCCTGTGTTGCCCCCCATCCCCAGTTCATATTACACCCAAAAAAATTAAGTTACTTTAATTCTCATAACACATTACACTCTCTCATTCCATTGTATCTTTTCCAGATAATAATGGTTTCTCTTCCTGGAAAACCCTTTACCTCTTTATCTTCTTGAGTAACTCATACATGTTGGTAACTCAGCTCAGCTTTCATTTCAGTGGCAAGGGAAAGGACATCAAAATGAGTATGTTCCATATACACAATGGAATATTATTCAGTCATAAGAAGAAAACAAATCCTATCATTTGCAACAACATGGATGGAGCTAGAGGGTATTATGCTCAGTGAAACAAGCCAGGTGGAGAAAGACAAGTACCAAGTGATTTCACTCATATGTGGAGTATAAGAGCAAAGAAAAAACTGAAGGAACAAAACAGCAGCAGAACCACAGAACCCACGAATGAGCTAACAGTTACCAAAGGGAAAGGGACTAGGGAGGATGGGTGGGATGGGAGGGATAAGGGTGGGAAAAAGAAAAGGGGCATTACGATTAGCATCTACAATGTGTGGGGGGTCGGGGTGGGCTCTACAACACAGAGAAGACAAGTAGTGATTTTACAGCATCTTACTACACTGATGGACAGTGACTGTGAAGAGGTATGTGGGGGGGACTTGGTGAAAGAGGGAGCCTAGTAAACATAATGTTCTTCATGTAATTGTAGATTAATGATACTGAAAATAAAAACAAAAATAAAATTTAAAAAACTTTTTTTAAAAATGAGTATGTTCCAGATCCTCAGGCTGGCCACTTACGGTCTATGTTTATGTTAGTGTTTATGATCCTATTTCTGCCAGGGCCCGGTGAGGTGATATCCTCCATGAACAAAGGGGTCATTCTAGCTCAGACAGGAAATGGAGTCAGGGAAATATCCCGCACCTTGTGGTACTGGCACGCCAAGCTCAGACACCTGCCTCCTGGTGGTCAATACCAAATCAGCATCACCAGCAAGGATCACACTGTCCTGTCCTTGCACATACCTGACTGCAACAGTTAGTGGCAGTAAATACCCAGCAGAGAACCTCCCCTCCCCAATTCCAAAAATAACTGATAGCCTTAGAACCCACATTATAGTAGTTCCTCCACACAACCTTCCCACAGGTGAAGAAGACCACTGCAAAGAGCTATCAAGTCAGACACCTCATTACCAAGACATGATGGAACAATGAAGTTGTGGCTAAGTGTGAGACATGAGTACCTTATGAATGCCACTCTACATGAATAGAGGATCTGCATTAACAATATTGAAGTCAAAACACTGAAACCGGTGAAATACAAAAACGGGCTTGAGGTTGTATCTTTGTCCTGTTAAACTCCAAGTGTAAAATAACGCTACCCCTAACAGCAAATGAATTTTGAAATTTGGGTTTATTAGTTTTTTTAGTGTTACTTGTATTATATGTTTAAATGTGGTTTTTTACTTGTATAATATTTATATGCCTTAGGAATTTAAATCTATTGTTATATGTGTATATACTAAAGGGACATAAAAATAAACACAATTTAAATCAACATTGAGAGTCTGCAAGAACTGTTTCTTTTAAAAGGGATTCCTGCAAAATTCTGGAGCCCTGACAGCTCCAGAAAGCTCTTCTCTCTCTCTCTCTCTCACACACACACACACACACACACGCATGCACACTCACATGTCCTTACAGAAAGCCTAACAGGCAGTGTCAGTCTGGCCCAGTTTTAACTCTGTGAACTTGGGTAAGTCACTTTGCCCTCCTGAGTCTTCATCTGTAAAATAAGTGTGGGGGTGTTGACAGCTGTTGTCAGCCCAGGACACCTGCAAGGAGAAGTTGGCACCAGGCTTAGGCAAGAGATGTGGATAGAGGGCACCTCTGCATTAGAGATTTCTGCTTTGGGAGAAGAGAGATTTCTGTCCGAGTCTAAGAGCCCCAGGGCTGCCAGTTAGGGCTGTGAACCAGGGCAGGACAGGGTCTGAGCCCTGTCACCATCTGTGTCTGACCTTGGGCTGGTTAGCCAGATTTAGTTTCCTTGTTTCTGAAAGGGTGATAATAGTAGCACCAAGCTTACAGGGTGGTTTGTAGAGGTTACCCAAAACACTGCTAGGCATTGTTTACCCAAGTGCTAGTGTGTGATTTATTGTTGTGATTTGCCCTTTGTGAAGCAGTATGACCTCCTCAGATGTCACACGGGTGCTCTGAGAAGTGTGAGGTCAGCCCTAGGTTGATTCCGCCTGCCATGGCCTCTAGCTCTGTGTGGACTCAGGTCCTCACGTCTGGAGAAATTCTGGGCATTTTGCATTTGAGGTGAGGGAGAACCCCAGGAGCAGGTGGTCAGACCCGGAGCTGAGGAGAGGTTGTCAGGACATAGGGATGTGGCAATGGCTCACCTTTCCTCCAGACTCCAGTGGAGGGAGATCCCACCTGTGACCCACTGTCTTGGCTCACAGTCTATAGTTTCTGCCCAGCCCCTTGGCGTACAGTACTCTCCATAACTGTCCCCACAGAAATGTTCTCCCCTATCTGGGGTCATTCTTTCATTTTGCCCCAAATAGGCCTTGGGTGGCAGCACCCTCATGCCTTTGCCCACATTCTTTCTGGTTCAGTGAGGCTGTTCCCTCAAAATCCTATTCCTTTCAAGGGCCACTGTAGTCTTCCTCCTCTGGGGAGCCTTCCCTGAGCAGTTCCATCCTTGTCTCCTCTCCACAGCACTGGCCCTCACTTGGCACCCCGCCATGCCTAATCTGGGTGCATCCACAGTATCCTGAGGTTATAGGGTGCTCTCCACTGCTAAGCATGGAAGATACAAAATAACGAACTACTGTGTTATTGAAATCCTCACGTTTCACTTTCCCTGCACGTCTGAGTCTTGGCCCTGCAGGCAAGGGGCAAGTTCCTGGACAGGAAAGCCCTGTTTTCTGGTTCTGATCCTCCTCACAATGCCCACCTTAGGTCAGTGCCCCTCTCAAGACTTTGATCTATATTTACGGAAGGAACAAGGAACTGGAAATAAAAGTGGCATGTTTATTCATTGTCTTACACTGTTACCTGAGTGAAAGATACTTTTAACATTTACTCTTTTTTTTTTTTTTTTAACATTTTTGACATCTGCTCTTGAGACTTGAGTTTTTCTTCAAGGCAAGACGACCACACAAAAGCAAACACACACACACATGATCCTTGTGTGGCCCATGTGCTCATCTGGGGAGGTGGGAGTCACAGCTCACAGATCTCTGCCCCATACAGCATAGCTCACTTGCCCCAAGAGGCCTCTATTCAGAGTGCCCTGAATCTGCTTCCATGTGGCCAAGATGTCCTGGAGGTCAGGAGCCTAGAGCCACAGAGAAGGGGGCCATCTGGCACACCCCAGAAAAACACAGCACTGGGGCCCTTTTCTCCGTCCCTTTCCTTGGCCCCGTTTCTGTTGCTGCTGTGTGCTTAGCTTCCCTGAAGCTGGCACCAGGCACAAGGGGCCTGAAGACAGAACTCTGTTCAGGAGATTCATAGTCCCCAATTCAGGGAGGGAGGAATCTTGAGGATAAAAGAAGGAAGTGGCTGAAATCTGGGCCTCCTGAGTCCCGGTCCTGTGGGTGACTGAGATTCAGTGCCATTGCTTACATAGGAGCTATTTTTAAAAAGTGTACTTCGGGGAGAGTTAGGGGAACAGGAGCCCTGACAGATGCAGAGAGCTCTTCTCCCCAAGATTCCTGCACCCACTCTGGTGGTGGCTGTTGCTCCTTCCTCCCCAGTGGTTCCTATCTGGTACCTCAGGCAGAGGTCCAGTCTCATGTCCACCTCATCTTCCCACCAGCCACCAGCCTGCCGGGTACTCAGTCCTCACCTGGCAGTCCCAGCAGGGTGAAGTAGCCCCGGCACTCCGTGAAGCCAGAACTCTCTCGAACACAGGAGCGCCACAGCCCTTGGTAGTTGAATACAGCTGTCACTGGGTTGTTGTACAAGTCCTGGGTACTCCATTGGTCCATGCAGGTGGCGGCAATGATGCCCGCAATCCCAATCAACGAGACCACGAAGCCCAGGCCCTGGCAGGCAGTCACGGCCATGGTGGGGCACAGCGTTCACAGAGCACCACACAGAGGAACAGCCCAGCTCTGAGAGTGCTGAGGGCAGGGGTAGAGTTTTCTTGGAGAGGCTGGGACACACGTCACGAATGGGCCATGCAATAGAGGAGGGGACTCACTGGTGCCACTGGGCTCGCCCTGCTCCTTTATCTGAGTGAGTGAGATAATTCCCGTGACATGGTACCAGGAGCCATTTGTTTTCCACCATATGTACATTCTACTCACTGTTTACCTTTTGAGGGAGTTTCTTTCCTACTAGCCAGGTTCTCCTCTCTAGAGGGTGAAGCAAGTGCAGAGCGTGCTGCCTGGAAGGCCATGCACAATGGCCAGTGGCTAGGCCACAAAATCCTTGGAGATAAAAGGAAAGGACCTGATCTCTGAGGCCCTCCCGAGGTATCCCTGCTGCTTTAATTTAAACCTTAGGTAAGGCTGGTTACGAGGCAGGATGAAGTACGGCTGATTCTCATTAACTGTGGTAGTTGTGTTCTATAAAGTCACCAGGAACACTCAGCAAACACTGAATCATTGCCCTTAGGGGAACTACAGGGTTAGGCTCCTGTAGTCTCCGGGCACATTTCATTAATGATCAGTACATAAACTTGTTTTGTGTGTTTCTGGTCAAAGACCCCTTATTTAATATGTATTTTTGATTCATTAACAGTGACCTAATGGCCAGCAGCTCTATAACTCACAGCTGAGCGAGCCTATCTAACACCGCCTTCCTGCTCCGGGGAACACTAGACTGCACGGCCACACTACACCCGGGGCTATTTGAAGTAAAGAAATCCCCAACAAAACGCATCAAATGTGAAAAACGTGGCACTAAACAGCGGGCGAGAGGAACGCTGGTCTCCAGGATGAGAGCTGAGACGGGAAGGCAGCACATTACCTCGTTCTGCCCCAGCGGGGAACGAGCACCTCCAAGCCACTCCGAATTTTTCACCCTCTGCATATGCGCATGTTCAATGATGACTGAGGAAATTCCTCAGGTATTGATTCCAGGGTTCAAAGCTAAATTATCACGAGTAGGCAAATTCTTAAATATGAATCTGCAAATAATGGGCTGTAGTTATGTGATGGAACTGAGTCGTTAATGTGGCCCAGCTGTTTGCACCTTCTGTGGCACTGACTCTTCCTTCCCCAGAGACGCCATGGTCGGGGTGGGGAGGGTGGAAGCAGCAGGAAGGCCTGTGGGCTCAGAGCCAGACAGCCTGAACTCATCCTCACTCCGCCACTGGCCAGCTGTGTAAGACAACCGCTAACTCATTTAACCTCTGGGAGCCTCATTGTCATCATCTGTAAAAAGAGAGAATAATAGTGTTTAGCTCCCTGGCCTGTTCTGTAGATTAAATGTGATTATGCATGTTGGCATGCTAAGCATTGCATGTGGAGCACTGAGAAAATAACAGCAAATATTACTAGTGGAGACTGATAGTATTATAATTAAAAGTTTTACCAATTGACTAGTCACTTTCACATTGTATTTCTTCACATTGATCAGAAACTGAACACTAGCCTATCACATAAAATGTCTCTATTTACAAGAAAGCATTAAAATGGTTTTTTGGTTCAAATATCATTCCTATCTACTTTGAATCTGGATTCAAGTCTTAACTCTTTTTACCAACTCACAGAACTACATTATGCATTGTTGGGTAACAACTCTGTGCCTCAGTTTCCCCATTTTAAAAGTAAAGAGTTTGGAATATTTCAGAAATTTCTCCAGTTTTAAAAGGGGCCCCTTTCTTTTTTATATCATCAACAAGACTATATGTCATGGAGATTAAAAGTTTGTGTGTGTGTGTACCTGTGTGGCAAAGTAAGAAGAGAAGGATGTGCTGTTCTGGTTTATAGGTTGAAGGGAAGAGCCTGCCCACTTTCTCTTGCTCCCTGAAGTAGCTGCTTGGGTCATTTATTAGAACCCCTCAGGGCATCAGGGAATATAATTTGAAAACCACTGGATGAGAATTTTTCAGTAAGCTATTCAGCATTTCATACAGTGAAGGAATGGACTAGAAAATTCAGCTTACTGATCCATGGAGAGAAAAAGGAAGCTTGATAAGCTTAGTCTGACCTGGTCCCTGTGTGGACAAAAAGACAAAGTCTGAGAATATATGATTGCAAGCCTCTGTTTCATATGGGACCAGGGTTTGAATTTGTACATCACCCATCAAGGTCTTGGATCTCTCACACTAAGAAAATATCATTAAAAGGTGATTCCAGGCTGATAGCACATCTGAATAACCTACAGAAGCAACTGCAAAACCCTCAGTGTAGGTGAATAGGGTTTCTACATTTAAAGCCCTGTCAAACTTGAGTTCAAAACTCAAAATTCAAATCTATTATAAAGTGGTATATATACTAGTAAACCAGCTCCCCAGAGGAAAATATCACTGACTTAAATAGTATTTGCCAAAGTCCATGGCATAAATTCTCCCACCATGGCTGCCTTCAAGATACTAATGGGAGACCACAGAATTCAAAGTTGGGAAGAAATGCACAGAATCAGCTTTCACAGTTGACTCCAGTACACTGCTAGATGAATAAGATCACAAGAATTAACACACAGTCACAGTGGATTTTCCAAGAAAATCAGAGAATATTGGTTAAAGACCTAAAGGAAGGAAATAAAATCATAGTTGAATAAAAGTCACTATGAGAAAAGGACAGGAAGATTTGACAATCCCCCTCCCTAGAATCTCTAGAAATTAAATACAGAGTCAATGAACAAAAAATTCAGTGGACAGTGTAGTAGGCACAATTTTGGCCCCTCTGATCTCTGCCTCTTGTGTTACTCCATGGTTATATCATGTCATATGCTCAAAGTAATCTTATAGATGCTATTAAAGTTACTAATCAGGCAACCTTAAAATGGAGAGATTATTCTAGATTATCCACGGAGGTCAATGTAATCCTAAGAACCTAAGAAGCAGAGAAGAAGGCAGAACAAAGAGTGTGAGAAATACAACAGAAAGGTAAGTCTGAGGCTGGAAGAATGAGAAGGATCCAACATATTGTTGACTTGAAGATGAAAGGAGCCACAAGTCCAGGGAACAAGGACTTTAGTTCTGCAAAGAACTGAATTCTTCCAACCAACAGTGACCTTGGAAGAGGACCTCAAGCCCCATCTGAGAACCACATCCATGGCTGATAACTTGGCCTAAGCCCAGAGACCCAAGCAGGGCAGCCAGCTGTGCTGTGTCAGACATCTGACTTACAGAAAATGTGAGAAACTAAATGGGTCTGTTTGAAGCTGTTAAGTTTCTGAAAAATTGCCATTGCAGCAACAGAAAACTAACAAAGGTAATTAGTAGATTTAATACAGCTGAAGTTTGCATTTATAAATGTAAAATGAAAATTTATGTAGACAGAAATAAAGAGATGGAAAACATGAAACAGCAATAAGGACAGAACAAGAAGTTCCAACATACATCTAATACGAGAACCAGAGAAGAGAATGAAAGACAGTACTTGATAAGCTACTAGCTAAGCATTTTCTAGAATTAATGAAATGCATTAATCTCATATTAAGGATGTAGAATCATTCCATAAAAGGTAAATAAAAATAAATCAACATCTGGCTGTATTCTAGTATTGCAAAATACCAAAGATAAAGAGAAAAATCTTTACAAAACCTGAAAGGAATTACAGCCACTATATTAATTGTAACAATGGAAACCAGAAGATGACAGAGTTATATCTTTAAAAATTGAGAATAAAAATAACTATTTAACCTCAAGACAATGAGAAGACAAACCAAAGAGAAAATATTTGCAAAAGGAAAATATTTATAAATAAGTCCTTTTAATTTAAAATATATTTGGATAAAGGACTGTTATCTGAAATACACAAGAACACTTAAGGCTCAACTTACAGTAAGAAGTGAACAACCTGATTAAAAAATGGGCAAAATATTTAAACAGTACCTTATCAAAGAAAATATATAGATGACAAATAAACATCTGAGAAGATGCAGAACTTCATATGCCATTAGGGAATTACAAATTGAAACAATTGGGTTCCTACTATATACCTATCAGGAAGGCTAAATTTCAAAACACTAACATGAAATTCTGATGAGGATGTAGGGCAACGGGGATTCCCATTCATAGCTGGTGGGAATGCAAAATGGCACAGCTACTTTGGAATGCAGTCTGGCCATTTCTTGCAAAGGTAAACATACTCTTACCATATGATCCAGCAGTCACACTCCTTGGTATTTACCCAAGTGAGGTGAAAACATGTCCACACGGAAGTCTGCACAGAGATATTTATAAAAGTTTTATTTGTAATTTCCAAAATTTGGAAGTCACCACCATGTCCTTCAGTAGGTGAGTGGATAAATAAACTGTCATATGTCAAGACAATGGAATATTACCCAGTGCTAAAAAGAACTGAGCTGTTAAGCCATGTAAGATCCTTAAATGCATATTACTAAGTGAAAGAAGCCAATGTGAAAAGGCTGCAGACTGTATGATTCCAACTATATGACATTCTGGAAAAGACAAATCTATGGAGGCAGTACAAATGGTCAGTAATTGCGAGGGACTCAGGGCTCTGGAGGGATGAATAGGAGCACAGAGGAGGTTTAGGGCAGTGAAACTATTCCATATGATACTATAATGGATGGACACACGTTATTATACATTTGTCAAACTCATAGAATGTACAACACCAAGAGTGTTCCTTAATGTAAACTGCAGTCTTTGGGTGATAATGATGTGTCAATGCAGGTTCCTATGCATTATAGTGCAGATTATAATAGAAGTAGCACCCTGGTGTTGAATGTTTATAGTGGTAGAGGCAGGGCATTGGTTGTGGGCAGAAGGTATATGGGAACATTCTATATTTTACATTCAATATTACTGTGAACCTAAAACTGCTATAAAAAATAAATTTTTTTTTAAAAAGGGCTAAGGGTCATAGTTGTGTTGATGCCAGAGGGTTCAGAAGAGCATCCCTGGAAGGGCAGAGTAGAGAACAAGACTTCCATAGGGGTAGGGACTGGGAATGATAGGTGGCCACGGAAATGTAACATTTCTGGAAATACTAAGAAATCCTGGAGTGGACAGACTTTCTCAAGGCATGGAATGAGGGCTCGAGACAATCTCAGTCTGACCTTCAGGGGCAGGGGAATGCCAAGGGGCACTCTCAGTTACGTGACAGGCAGAAGGAGCTGGGATCACATCCCGGTGATGTGCTCAGTCATGGAGGTGACTGAGGCCAGAACACACATTCAGAGTCTCTTAATGGGGCCTGTATTGGGAAGAGAGAATTCTGACTCAAAATGGCTCT